ATAAATATGTCTATATATATATAGACATATTTTTTCTTACCTTCACAGTTTGTAGATGTGTTAGAGAAAAATATAAATAAAAATGACTTATGATGTCAATAATATACTTCTGTAAAATATTGTTCTCTATTAAGCTTCTGTCGTGATAATTCCATGATGTTTAACAGATCGATGTTTTAGAAAACCTTCTCTGAGAAAACAGAAAATAATGCCATAAATCAAAGCTCTATGTGGAAATGAATCATTTGACTGCTGAAAAGAAAAGTGTTTATAAAATCTGCAGCTCTTAAAGTTTAGTTATCTTGCTTGCCCCTCACCTCTTTGTTGACCTTTAGAACTTTGGCCTCGATGTCGTATCTCTCCTCATCGACTTTTTCGATGGCCTGGTTGAGCTTTTTGCAAACTTCCTGTGAAAACAAAGAAATATGTTTTTTACAGAGATCCGTCTCATGGGAGTTGGATTTATTCCAGGCATGTAAAACCGTGTTATCACCTGCAGCTAAAGGCATCTTTTTCTCCTTGTTTGCTATTATTTTGTCTGCAGCGTCAGCAAAATATCTCATGAAACACTGTAAGGGTTTTAATGAAGTTTTCATTAAGTAACATTTTCCTTGTTTTATTATGAGAATTCTTATGTTAATTTGTTTTTTCGGGTCTCACTGCTTGTTTCCCCCTCAGTCACACCTGCTCCTCATGATTATTAGTCTCACCTGTTTTCATCAGTAATCACTTATCCTGATCTTCATTTGGTCCACACACTCATCCATTCATCATTCTGCACACTCATCTGCCTGTTCTCCATCTGAGCCTCGTTTCCCTCATATTCAGTCTGCATCCATCTTTCCTAACCATTCTTGTCATTAACTGACCTTAGACAACAGAAAAAAGGCTATAGCTGAAAGTCATCCTTAACACATCACATCCTGCAATACTAATAATGTAATCACTTATGTAAAACTGCAGCTGACACTTAAATTTATTCTTATTCATCTTAAAACCAAAGTTATTTCAAAATAAGAGTAAATAAGACAGTTTTAGCAACACCCTTCCATCAAAGCTTTGATGGTCTTCAATCAAAAATATTGAATTTTTGCCATTTTTTCCATCTAAATTATTACCAATCCCAGGATAATGATGCTTCTGAAGCCATTAGTGGATTTACGGTGTTTTGGACTCACCATCAGGTCTCCGCTGAGGTCAGGTTCTGGACAGTGCTCAGCAAGATAAGCCTCTTTTGCTGCTGCAACATCTATCTTCTCTTGTTCAAGCCACTTAGCAGCAATCTGCAGCACCAAGCTCTGCAAAAACATGAACAAGATGCACAAGTCAAAGAGAAGAAACAAACGTTCAACGGGTCTGAATGAAAACAAGAAAAGAAAAACTTTAGTTCCAACCTTTAAATGATGCCTGCGGCTGGATGTCATTTTCTTTCCCCTGTTAGATGAAGACCAACAACTCCATGAGAAATGACTGATAACAGTAACTGTTGAAGCCTATTTTGATTATTTAAAGATATGAAAAAAATAAATTAAATTAAAAGTCTCCAACCCCAGTCCTCACACTACAAGCTTAATTCAGCTCATCAAAAAGACTCACACATGTGGAAAAGACCTCCTCAGTTTAATAAAACTGGAGTCGTGTGCTTTTTTTTAAATTTGTTTAGTCTTTCAGGAACGGTTCAGGAAAGCTGTTTACAATTTAAATTCAGAAATATTGACCAAAATATTAAACACAAGATAAAAATTGATACTTTCAAATTGACTACACGTCTGCACACACACATTTACAAACTACTTCATACAATCTGTATCAACAGCTTAGACAAGCAACGACCCTGTATAAAATCTGACCTTGATGTTTGACCTTCACCTTAAAGATGGGATGATGAAAGTGTATGTTCGTGGAATTTTACAAGCAGTTACAATCATCTAACTGCTCTCATATTTCTGCCAACCTGATCTCTACGGCAGACCATTTTAACATAAAATCAGCTTTGTCTATCTGTAATTACATTCTAATTATGTAAAAGTGAGTTTTGACTTGGAACAACTACAATTGATTGGCTGCAATGACAAAAAAATTGTGTTTCTGAATTCATGTTGAGCTGCAGCGAAAACTGGTGTTAAAAACAAATTTAAGTCGGACTGTCCTGACTCTGCAAACCACTGAACAGCAAACCAAGGTAAGGTGCAAATCTGTGACCTTTTGACTTGTTAAATTAATCATTCAAGAGAGTGTAAGGGCCACCCCGAGAGGGAATAAGCATTTCCACCTGTCTTTGACCCTGGTCTCAGAAAACCTCCTTCAAAAGAGACATTTTGTTTTCTTTAATAAACAAAATAATAATTTTCTTTATATTTTTGATTTATATTTTCTTTTAACTACAAGTTATTATCATTTTATAAATCAAAGTTACATAATGAAAAGAATGACAATCTTCTTGCATTATAATTAAGTAAAAGAAAAAAAACACACAGAAAGAATATTGTTTTAAATGTTTCTTGATTTGTTTTACACAAATCTTTGTTTTAATCAACTGTTATTTGACAG